GAAGAAATAGTTTATTGAATATTTTATTTATTCAGAAGAATATGTAATTATGATAACACTTTTTTATTGACTATTATGAAGTTTGAAAGTCATTTTGGTTTAAACATATTTTATTATTATTTATGAAAATGAATTGGGATTGGTGAAGTATTACTGCTTATGTTAACACCGCTCCCATGCAACATAAAATATAAAATGAAATGGAGGATGTGACGTCATCGATATTGACTATTGCATAAATATATTTTTAAGTACATATAAATAAATTATATACGGATTACATCAAATACAACTATTCTCTAAGTAGTCATAATTAGAGAGTTACAGTTGTGTGTGTCTAACAAGCTATTGTAGGAATATAAATCAATCACGAGAAGGTTGTTGAGTTAATTTCAGTATTTCCCTGTGAAAGTTTGAAGGTTGTGTCTTGATGATATAATCGTAGACGGATTCAACTATTTTCTGGTTTACACAAGGAGTAAATTCTTTGTTTCCGTTCAAAAAATTATCCTGGTTATAACGGGTAGTTGATATCCACAAGAGCAACATGCACTGTCTATTAAATGTCTGTTATACTTATCGGCGCTTAGGTCGCTAGATCCGAGCCTGAGGCAGCAGTGAACGATTTGACAAAAACAAGAGCCATAATTAAAATCAATATAAATCTTGTTTTCGGTTTTTGTAATTAGGTTTTAAAATTCTTTGAGACTGTATGACTCTTTGGAATTTGGTAGGGCATTCCATAAATTTATTGTGTCGGGTAGAAAGGGTTTGGCATAGGGGGCATTTCGACTGTAAATTTCAGAGTTATTTCTTAAACTATTGCTTGTAGTTTCGGAGACGGAGTAAATCTGAGTAGGTAAATTAATTTCTCTTTAATCACGAAGTTACCTACACAAAGTGTTTAATTATTAAAGACATTTACCTAGAGTATGTTAATCAATTCATCTTATAAAGTTTCACTAAGTTACCTCCACAAGATCCAGTTACATAGCAAATCAGTAATTAGCTAGGGTTAATCCATTCTATCAGACAGGAGAGTATGGTGTCTTTTCGTTGTTAATTACCTACTCCACTGTCTCATAACTGGGAGTCTCACAACTGGGAGTTCTCTCAAATGGGAGTAGACCGTTGAATGTGATGTATGGTGAATAGCAGCCCAGGTGTTATAGAGAGTATAACTCATGCAAAGATCATAGATAAGACGTGAAGTCGTGCACTGAAATGACCGTTGTATTACACATTATCACCTAATGTCTTCCATGAAGTGAAGTAAGTCAAAACAATAGGCTTAAGTACCCATGGCCTCGCCTCTCCCTTATCACACCTAACAATGAGAGAAGTTATGAAGCTAACATTTTCACAAATATTTCTGGAACCTAACCCAGTACGTATTCGCGATTATAGTGTTTATGTATAATGTTAGCGTACTGGTGTCCATCCGTGTGAACACAATGTCATCAAATATTCAATTTCTGACTCGCCTAATACCTCAGTCGACTGTAAATATTATGAACGAATTAAACCAGAGCTTTCACTTTTTTAACACTTTTTTTGCATTTGAGCATGTGTTTTCTGTTGTTCCAGTGCCTGACGTTATCTATAAATAGCCACACTACCCGCAATGATAGTCACATCACTCCACCAACAGGTATCCACATGGAACCCAGCCGATATGTCAATTCTACACAGCAAACCAATAGTCTTATTTTACAAAGAAACATATCCAACAATTACTCATTTGTATGATATTCCAATTACCTTTTGCATTAAAGTACACATTCCATTAATACCATTTTCATCGCCCAGTTCACCACACCAATAGTCCAATGTATAATTCAGTTTGTCCCAGTCACTTACATTATTCAAAATGCATGTATATACTGTTTCCCTCTAATATTCACAGGAAGTGTTGAATATGTCCAAGGAATAGTTACTTGCACTATTCACAATTTTCCCATCTGTAGGCATTTCAATTATAGGGGCGGTGGGGTAGCCTAGTGGTTAAAGCGTTCGGTCGTCACGCCGAAGTCCCGGGTTCGATTTCCTACATGGATACACTCTGTGAAGCCCATTTCTGGTGTCCCCCGCCGTGATATTGCTGGAATTTGCTAAAAGCTGCGTAAACCATACTTACTCATTCACTCACTCATTTCAATTATGCATTGTATCCTAACAACAATCATATGAATTATTCACTAGATCTATATCCCACCAAAACTTTGATCATTTTAAACAAGTGTCGTCACTCCAACACTCATTCTTCTCTGATGACGGACAAGAGATCACCAAAACGTGAATCGCCAAACCATTGTTTTTGTTGTTGTGGTATCTCTTTCACACTGACAGTCACATACCTAAAATGTGTGACTTGACACATCCATAGTCTAAAGCCAACGATCAATGTAACACCAGGTGTCCAGGACAACTACATTGTTGACCGAGAAAAAACATTCAACAACTGTCCGCGACCCGTGTACAAAGTAACTTCAAATTGACACCTGACACATTTATACTGATAGCTTGGCCAGGGACGAGGGTGAATGTTCCAATCAACAGTAAGTACGTGAGCTTTCAAGGAAGTGTGTTTGTTTATTAATGTCACCGAACAAATATTTCAGTTCCAAGGTTAACGGTTTCATCTGAATTTGAGGAAGCGTGACGTGTTGTCAACTGTTGGAACCTGGTTCCTGTGATGACGTGATAGTTACGTGACACTGGAATTTGTGTTGACATCTGTGGAAGTCATCGATGATGAAAACACGAAAACATTGAGCATTGTCAATTAAATCAAGAATATGTTTAGTTTATTTTTAACAAGGTTCAAGGTTTTTATTCTCACAATCCTCATATACAAAGAGGTGGTACAAGATGATATATTTACGAACAACAAAATCAAAGGTAACATGATCGAACGTCATTTTAATCAGAGAGTACAATCTATAATTGTAACAAATGTAGACAGGTTCTTTTATATTGACAATTTTTAGAGCTAAGAGGATTCTTAAATGTATACCGGTTAGAGAATACATAATTATGTGAACTACTGCATTTCGAACTTGGATCTGTAATGGATTAAACATTGAAAGATATAATGAGATTCGTCAGCATTATACGAACGACCATTCTCTACGGGAAAGTAGACTTCAGTAAAGGCTGTGATAGTGAAGTTGGAAGCAACAGATAATTTATGAAAGTCAGACTTCTAAATGTTAGGCTTGGGTTAAAGACGAACCATGTGCATTGTTATATATACTCATGCCAATAATGGTTGTCACCCCTCCCCTCCCACCCCAACCCCCACACCTCACACCACCACCCACACCCCTCTCCAATTAAAAAAATTGGACAACCAAAATTGGCATGAGTATATATATATGGATGTTGCTTATAATTGAAAATAGTTACTGTTTTAGTTTATATTGGTCGATATATTGATTTAGCAGTAAATAAAGCTTAAACAAATATCAATACCATTATGGGATGTTTATCATAAAGTTAGCGTGTTACATCCAGAGTACAGGTTTGGAGGTATTCGAGGCTCCAGATGTGTTACAGTTAGAATGATACTGGAAGGAATGAGACAAACCACACAATCACGGCAGGCATGAGTCGTGAGTGAGTAAGTTTAGTTTTACGCCGCTTTTAGCAATATTCCAGCAATATCACGACGAAGGACGTCAGAAATGGGCTTCACACATTGTACCCATGTGGGAAAGCGAACCCTTGTATTCGGCGTGACGAGCGAACGCTTTAACCACTCGGCTACCCAAGCCGCCTCAGGAATGTACTGAACTCAGAAGCAATTGAAACTATGCCTCTCTGTGGATTATATGATATGTTTGATTTTAATTTGAAAAGATCTGTTAGCGATATTTTATCAAGAAATGAAGTACACTTGCCTTAAGTTGAGCACTCAAAGAAAGAATACGTTGATGCGTTTTTGTATTTCAGAATATAAGTCAACTGAAAACTTGTAAACATCAAAAACCAAAAGCGCAATAAAGAGGTGTTGACTTCAAACCTTTTCAGCTAAAATCAAGAAACTTACTTTTTAACACACTTTTACTGTTAAATATGATAAAGATTATGTGGTTGCAAATGTATTACCCTAGTCAAAATTGTACCAACCGGTCATCCAAAGTTTCTGGGTATGTCATAGAACAAATGGACACATACTGAAGAATTAATATAAGGGAACATATAGTTATGTCATACTAGGACATTCAACTTCAGACTCACTCACGATGAGCTTCACAAGCAGATTCCACAAGGCGTGATAAGGCAATAGTGGGAACAATTATATGTATGGAACACTGAAAATGAGAAATGAAGCCAGGTGTCAGCTAAAACTAAACATCTGACGCTAAGACGAGCGGTGAAACTGCGTAAAACACCAGTCTCAATCCATCTGGTCTCTCATATAGCTAAATAAGACTTTGTCTAATCCGATATTTGCGGAGTTAATATTCTACATTGATTCAGTTGAATTATCTTTGCAAAAATTACCCGTATGGAACAAAGGTTTTATCTCCCTAATACGGACGTCCTTCACGAACATCTGGACCCAAGTCTCCTCAAGATGACACGCACCTAATTGACACCAACTCTGTGTTCTTCAAAAATGACATAATTAGCAAAATCTACGAATCAGCATATGCATTCAGGCACATGTTATTGGCCCACAACGTGACTGTTGATCTATTGGGTGTAGGTGAGAGGGTTGTTGGACGTGTAATGGGTCACATAACACCTCTGATGGGGGTAGACACTTCCATCGATCATACTGATCGTATGACAACCTCACTGTTAGTATGAGGGAAAATGGTGTGTCGATGCCGGCCCGAGGCTGTATCTTTATAGCTCATCATTTGCTGTGGCATCTAGATTGCGTGAGTGCAGCTGACAGACCGACTGACATCTCATCTGTCTAGCTTGTTTGTACGACCTTATTTTAGATGAATCTTGCTTCAAAAACATCACAGCCTATTTGACTTCCTAGGACAATAGCTTCATCAATACCAGAGCTTGGTTAGTCTGGTGTGAGCGTCTCTCTCGGACGGGTGTTCTACAAGCTGTTGGCTCCGTCGGTGTGGACTGGTGTAGGACAGGAAAGGACACTAGTACAAGGACTTCGTTATAGGTCAGTATGAGAGTTGCAACCAATGTATTCTCGGGTATTTTACCTTACCATGTTTCTTTCTCACCGGTATATATTCGTGATCATTAAGTCTAAACTAAATGTTTCTCTGATAACGCGTTACTTCAACTTGGTGGATCTTCGCAATAAAATTATCAACAATAATTCACTTCATATTGTAATTAAGAAATTTGCACCCATTACGTAATCCATTCTTATCAACCATATACAGGTAGCGTGTAGGTAATTACAACAGTCAGAATTAATAAAGTTTAATCCCTTTGTGCCAATCTGTTTACCGTAAATATTTCAATTCAGTATCACTAGTATTACTATATTGTGTTCATAGGTGATTCGTACATTTTAATTTTGTAAATATTCAAATAGTTGTTTAGAAATCCTGATATAAAGGAAAATATCAATTATTCAAATGTTAATAAATAATATTTTTTTCGAATAATTTCGATGTTTGATATTTCATAAATCAATGAGTCCCGATCACTTGTTATCGATTATAGGTTTTACAAAAGAACTGTGTTTGAGTGATTTGTAAAGTTATAACTGATGTTATATAAATATGTACTGTATCCGCCCTGGTGAAAGAGAAACGGTGGATTTCACGCCTCCTGTAACAAGATCAAACCAATATCACGTAGTGGGACAACAGACATGGGCTTCACACATTGTACTTTTTTTGCGTGAGCTCATCTGCTGTTAGTTTTGTCAATCCTGTCAAAATCATCTGTCGAGTTATCCGTATTTCGACACTAGTGGAGTACCATCTGACATTGAGACTGTCGGGACTATAAAGGTGCTTCATCTGGGCAAGCACATTTACATTTATTTGAAAATATGTTCAGGTATAATAATATTATTATTTACTGTAAAATAGATACAGAAGTAAAGAAAGTGTAATACAATCTATTGTCAGACATCCAAATATTGTCCCGAGCATATACACGATTGTTGAAAGTACAAATTCTCAAGACTATGTATCTAGTGCCTAGCTTTACATATATTTTCAGACAGGGGTTTGTGAGGGGGCTAGGTAGAAGAAATTCATATTTGATACAATAAAACTGAAAACAATATTGAAAGAACGAATTTACTTTTTTTCTCAAAAAAAAGCCAGTTTTAACTATGTTTCTTTTCGTATCTGTAATATACGTGATTCGAATTCTTATTGTTTCTTCCCGCTGTGAATCAAAGCGGCCAGCATCAATCTAAGTCAATGCCTATTAGATACCTTAAACTTCCGTGCCAGTTCCATCGTGTACGCTGGTTAGTCAAGTAGGTCATGCTGTCACAATGTCTTTGTACCTTTAGGCTTGTTCTATGCCACATTCACACACATATGATGATATACTTTGCTGTTGACAAGATTATGGTTACTATCTTAATAGTTTAACGTCAACCCCTTAATAAATAACTCAGGGCGCTGAATATTTCCTGGTATTGCTATGTAAACATATAAATCAATCAACGTACGACGTAAAGGCCTGAATTGTCTAAGTCTCTTTACCCCCGACTGTCAGTGTTTGAAATATAATGTAACACCTGGGACGAAAATGGCTTCTGATACCGAAGGTGCATAAACGAGGACAAGCTCATTCGAAAATATACCTATTTTTCTTACCTCTTTAACACAAAGTATCTTAGTAGTTTTATAACCGGTTTTCAGTGCTGTTTTTAGATAGTTGTCATGACCATTTTACGCTTTACGGAATGAGTTTAGCCTGTTGTTATGTCCCCAACTGTAATCTTTCTGAGTCTGCCTTCTGAAACACGAACAAGGTTTTGGCACACTACTACTAATTTAAAAAAACACACCAACGATCAGGACACTCCATGCGAAACGCAATTTGTTTATTGGGAATGGTTTACGATTACATAAAGACATTGTAAAATTGATAGTATCTGTTATAATGCTTTAAAACAAATTCTGACCTTTCTGTGTCTGAGGGCGAAACATGAACATCGACATCGACATAGACTTCGACATAGACTTCGACAGGATATATCTACATACGAATCAAGAATACAATCACCTTTTCAACACATAAGATATAGTAGGATTCATGCAGTTGACGCTGCTTTTGGCAACTGTTTCCGGTGATTATGTACATTATACTTATATATTATTGTAATTTGACCGCTTGTCTCCTTGTTGTTACCCACACTGACGCTTTACTGATTGTTTTACGCCGCACTCAGCATTATCCCAGCTTTAAGGCGGTGGGTTCTTAATTATCCAGTCTGAACCAGACAATCTAGTCATCGACATCCTGATCGATCTCTACAGTTGGGATACGATGACATGTGCCAAGGAAGTAAGCGAGTCTGACCACCCGATCCCGTTAGTCGCCTCTAACGACAAGCATGGGTTGCTGAAGACCAATACTATCCCGGATCTTCACAGATGGACAATTTAGTGTGACCCATTACAACTGGGACGACGCTACCATTGACGCACATTTTTTCTGAAGCTGTGATTAGGCATTTTCCATTAAGACACAGCCAATTATATATATCATGTTCGGCCGTCAACTGTTTATGGGAATCAATGATGCTTTTCATTCTCATTGTGTAATTCATAACACAGAAACAGGGTTTCCACAATGATAAAACATGGTTTGAAGCAAATCCCAAGTGTGGCCTAATCTGATTCATTGTTTTCAGATTGATCATGAAGGCGACTTCCTGTGTTCTGACGTTAACCCTTCTGGTGTCTTTAACCACCTCAGCTCCAACACAACCTCCGCCAAGTTCAGGTACGTGCTGTTATCGTAACCACAGATACGAGTGAGTGGGTTAGCATTTATGTGTCGTCGGCATTATTTCAGTATGCAGCGACACCAGTAATGTACGTTTGTAGGATTTCACATCGCTGTATGGGTCAATGAACTGACCGCGCATCTTCACACCACTCGACTATACACTATAGTTCCACGTCAAATATCATACAATTATTTATATACATGACACAAAACGCATTAATGCCTGCAAGGTAGAGGATACGGTTTTATGTCATTGTTGAGTCTTAATATAATTTCCCAAGCATTGGTGATTTGGTGATCTTTAACCACCCCCTTTGTCTAGTCTATCGAGTGTGTGCCGGATGAGCAGAAGGTCGGAACAAAGCGTTAAAAGGTGATATTTGTCGTTGGCGCTCGGTATTAAGGGGCCAGCTCGGACTGGTCGGCTCGGAGTGGTAGTGAAGCTATTGTCTGGTTGTGACAAGAGACGGACATGTTACATGCACGTGACACTACCCCTGACTAGAGTGCTGTTGGAATTGTGATTCAATAATTCCTCGGTTCGAATCTCAGCTCGTTTGTCAGCCCATTCACGAAGCTTTTTTTGATTCTGGTCATAATTTGATTGGTGTTACAATATCGCCATGTTTGTCTCAGGTCGAGGGTTCAGTAGAAAATACTTCTGGTTATACATGCAACGTGTAGTGTAGCAGAACGCATTCTAATACTTTTGTTTAAATTCTGTGTTAGGTGGGGCTACGGTTGTGTCCATGACAACATCTTCCATTGCTCCATCCGGGACCTTCACTACAACTCCACCCTCTGCTCCTCCTACTCCTCCTTCAGTGTCTACTTCCGGTGTTGGTGCTTCTGTATCTCGTAGTTACACTTCCGCTCCCGAGACCACACTCCCAGATACCTCTGTGTCAAGCGAAAACAATGTGTCTCCTTCTAGTGTCAACAATGTTGAAACCATTGTTGTCAATTTCGTTGAAAGTATCTCTAGTCCTGGTTCATCACCAACTAGTTCATTGTCTGGCAGCCCTGGTGTAAATGCTAACTCTACATCAGTATCCATGACGACCACAACTCCAGGATCCACGGCTTATCCTCAGTCACCAACTACTGAAATTAACGCCGCCGGAGATTACGTCCCTTTCACCTTCCCAGTGGAGATAAATCTGATTGCTGATGAGAACCTTCTCGACGGCAAATCAGAAACTGTTCTGTGAACACTGTCGGTCTGAGAGGAATCACTGATTGCTTCATGTGTTGTTTTCGGAACAACAAATAACAACTAATAAATCATACCCATACACACGCACGCACACACACACACGCACACACACACTTGCTTCTCATCGAAGGCTAAAATATCAGAATGCTTGTATTTATTTAACTAGATATAATTACGTGTAAAACACAATTGTAATAAAGTTGTTGTAGCCAAACTTCGGTTTTTTATATGTAGACTGAATCCACACTATCGTGGCATGTGGTCATGACCTTAACTAATATTACTGGCCAACGTCTTCTGATCGTAAACAGATTCGTGTGCTTTCACTATAGTCCTCAAAAGCGGACCGATGAATTGCAATCTAACTCGAAAACTAATGAACATAAAATACTCAATGAATCAAATACTCAATACTCATAATCAAAATTTCTGTCATAACAATAAAAAAAAGTTGTTTAACAAACTATCATTAAAATATTGACACAGTTCACTATTTTAATGATAGTTTGTTGCACAAGTTTTTTAATTTTAGGGCTTAAATTCTGCAAAAATTTAGTCTGGTCTGATGTTTTGATTATGATCAGCGTTTCATTGAGTATTATATGTTTATTATTTTTCGAGTTAGATTCCAATTCATCTGTCCACTTTTGAGTCAAACGGACTGTATTAAAAGTGATTTATCGTTTTAAATAACAATTTCATGTGACCGGAGATTCGTAGCCTCTTTCCGTATGACCAATGTGTAACAATTAATATCTACAAAATAGCAAAGGTTATCACTGAATAGAAGCGACAAAACTCTTTCCATCATCACAGGAAATCACTTCTATACTGGACAAAAATAGTTAGGAATATATGTAAATTTTGAAATTATGAATAATGATCTATTTATTAATTGACACACTGATAAAATACCAAACATAAAAATACCGATATCCCTAACTTATTTTGCCCAGTATATATAGATCATTTTGTACCATTATAAGTGCACCAGAAATATCTGCTTCAAACAGCGATGATACCAATTACTCGCGATTATCCAGCTTCACCGGTGCTACCTGTCACAAACATTTACCCGAACCTATAGTACAAATCACATTTTGAAATGTCAACCACGTTTACCCCATATCTACACCGTTTTTAAACGTTCATAAATGTTGTAACCCTATTCTATCAATTTTGGGGACGCTGTTTGAATTTTTGTGTGAAAATTACAAGCTCAATTGTATATTACACGTTATTAAATGTGACCGTATGTCCATTCTGTATGACAACTGTGAACGCAGGAACGTTCTGTGTGGTCACTGCGATCGCAGGTACATTCTGTATGACCACTGTGATCGTAGGTACAGTTTGTTATGAGCAACTGGTCACATTGCTAATTCTGTATGACCACTGCGATCGTAGGTCCATTCTGTATGACCACTATGAACGTAGGTACATTCTGTATGACCACTGCGATCGTAGGTACATTCTGTATGACCACTGTGAACGTAGGTACACTCTGTAGGACCACTGCGATCGTAGGTCCATTCTGTATGACCACTGTGAACGTAGGTACACTCTGTATGACCACTGCGATCGTAGGTCCATTCTGTATGACCACTGTGAACGTAGGTACACTCTGTATGACCACTGCGATCGTAGGTCCATTCTGTATGACCACTGTGATCATAGGCACATTCTGTATGACCACTATGAACGTAGGTACATTCTGTATGACCACTGTAATGTATCTAGATCTGTATGTAGTGTATATCATTGCATGCATGCCCCACATGCTGTGATCCATGTTGACGTGTTGGCGTTATCTTCCAGGTTCTCTACAGCACCACGACACACCGGCCGTCGGCGCCACCGATCGTCACTCTGCCGACAAACATCTTCCACCCGACCCAGCAACAGCAACTGCTCAAAATGCGCTGCCAGGCTCTCACGGTGAAAACAGTGCTGCGCCCTTCAAAGCGGAAGCAAGTACTTCCGCTGACGGCATTGTGACTTTTGGGATGATATTCACTGTGGAACTTCCGCCCTTCATCAACGTCGGGGGCAAGAAATATAGGCTTAGCATACGCATGCCTGGAAGCTCCGGTGCAAAAGTGCACTAGTTCCGGTTCCGGTGCAGAAGTGCACAAGTTCCGGTTCCGGTGCAAAAGTACACTAGTTCCGGTGTAAACGTGCACGAGATACACAACATGGGAAAAGGCAGCAACGTGTGAAGGCAGGAAGACGTAGACATATTGATCGCTTTACCCTGTTTGTATGTCCGGGTCAGTCCAGTCTTTTCCCTTGGGATCTGAACACAGAACCTCAAACATATCTTAAAGAATACGCAGATTCAAACAACCTTATACTGTGTAATCAACATTTGTGTTCATCACTTCTGAAGAATATTCAGGGAGGAAACCTTTTTGCCTTGAAATTCCAACATTCCTGAAAGTAGTGTGCCAAGCGGTTCGTCAAGTTTAAAATTTTTACTCATTAACAAAGCCTATATTCAAAGACATATCTACCTATTTGAATGTTACCAAGTTGTAATTTACCGGAACCAGGAGGATGGTGGTGATGATCCGGGCTTGCCAGTTATCATTTCATGGTAGCGATTCCCTGATTGGCTATCTGGTCGTGTTCATCTCACCTTGGGTATGGGTTGGAGGTCCTGCAGGCAGACAATAGTTCTGGGTAGTGGAGTGCGAGAGAAGGAAGTGCATTATGAGAGGGGTATTTCAGTCACATCTCCACACGTGTGGGGGTAAGATACACTGTTAAATGTAGTTTTGAATATGTGCATTTTAACTTCGTATCTCTTTGGTTTGAAATTTATATCGCTTTATGTAGTAATTTAAGGATAATAGCAGATGTCTTCCATTATCAATATAAAATAACAGGAACCTGCAAGTATGCTCATGGACAAAATTATACATTGTAAATAAGCTTTGGAATAGTGTCCGAAGGTTCATATCTGAGTATAAATACATTACAGATGATACAATAAAAGGCAACACCAGTCAAGACATTTGTTGTTATTGATCTGCCAAGGACGTCACTGTCGACCTGTTGACCCCAAGACAGCCTGTGTTCGGTGAACGCGGTTGTCTGAGTAAGACAACGTAAAGTGTAGAGAAATTGATGTGAATCTCCCCGTGAAACATGGGAACGTTGTGTTTGAAAATACTACTAGATCTTTCTTAAGGTGATGGATACATAGGAAAACACAATTCAATTAAATATCCTCACTTAAAATAGTCTGTTATGAAATATTTGAGAGAGAGAGAGAGAAAGAGAGAGACAGATAGACAGAGAGATAGAGAGACAGAGAGAGACAGTGAGAGAGAGACACAGAGAGAGAGAGAGAGAGAGAGAGAGAGAGAAACAAAGACACAGAAAGAGACAGACAGACAGACAGACAGACAGAAAAATAATGAGTCCCTCTTCAAAGGCTCGAAAATGATAGTAAATGCCAAAGACTGACTGACTGCCTGAGTTTAGTTTTACGCCGCTTTTAGCAATATTCCAGCAATATCACGGTGGGGGACACCAGAAATGGGCTTAACACATTGTGCCCATGTGGGGAATCGAACCCGGGTCTTCGGCGTGACGAGCCAACGCTTTAACCACTAGGCTACCCCACCGCCCCTAAATGCCAAAGAGAAAACGATAAGTGGAATATGTTCCCTTGAATTACCCACAAACTAGAAACGGCCTTACCTCATATTTTGATCCATGCATTAAGATTCTAAAATGTCAAAATACCACCAAGAGGGGTCAATTTACAACAGTTAACTTCCCATTTTATGCCCACCAATAACAGTCCAGCCTTTCAACATTTCATCACAATTTCGGGAACAACTGAGCATGCACTTCAGACGTATGTTTTTAACGAGAGCCATGAAAAACGTTATACTGTAGACATGTTTTCAGATGAGGAAATGACTTGCCATTGCATGGGTTTATGACGTGTACAACCGTTGCTGCAGGATACGCTAAACCTTCCGAGATCACCTTCGAGTGTTTAGTCATAAGGTGTTAACACGCATGTAACACGGACATATTAGATAGACGTGACATATCTCAAGGAAAGAATCCATAATAACTCAATCCATACTGACAGTGGGGAAATGCGACTCTCCACACGGCGATCTTTTTTACCATAACTGGCAGCTAGTGTCGTGGAGTTGAAGACTGGAAATGAAATAACAATGTATATACAGTAAAAGATAGTGAGTTGAACAGTTAGAAAATCCCTTTGGTCGAACAAGACGGAATGGATGGGCAATGGGACGCTTGTTATATAATTGCGTGACAATTACATGCGGCCCCAGTTCAAAGTGATGCAGCCAGTATGTCCCAGACAAACCAAGGATTATAATCAGGACAATTCGGGTATTCAAACCCACGATCATCCGATCAGGACAAGACTAAGGAAAGAAACACGAGACAGCTAATATCGCCAAAAATCATTTATTGGCACATGGCAAAACGACTGGTCGAGTCCTAGTGGTCAAGTACTTGTGACCCAGTACTAGCAGTCCAGTACTAATACCAATACTAATGATTCAGTACTGGTCAGTTTGTATTCACTGTGAAGGGCGTTCTCCTCCAACTCGCCATTTTCGCGTCCAAATTGGAATATTCAGTCACAAAACAATACATTTTTGCAAAATGTGTATTATTTAAAAGAATGGACTTATAGTGATAATTATATGTTTCGTGTTTTTTATACTGTACTTACAACTATCTCTCAAAAGAATAATACAGCCCCTGCCCTGAACACAGAACAGTCTGTCAAATGTATCCAAATGTAAATAAATATCCTATAAATATCCTATATAATAACAGATGTGAACCTAATACATGAAAACCTAGAGCTTGTATGTACGTGAAAGTGGTATATTACACATCGAAAAGACATCTAGATTCAAAAGTTTGAGCCTTACAAAAATACATAGTTCATTTTTCTCCTTTCTCACTTTTGATAAACATACACATGTAGGTAAAAATTATTGTTGATATATTAAACGGATCAATTTGTGTCCAATCCTTATCACTGAAGTTGAATGACATCCCATAACGTTAAAGTCCCATACTGCACAGCACGTGCAAATGTTTGCCTCTACTTTCATCAAATATATTTCTGGAAAATAAGTCATAAATAAAATCTTACCTTTCTGATTAGTAAGATAATCTGGAACAAGGGCGTGTGGTTATTCAGTATATTATAAAATGTACAACAGCCTGGATCTAGGATACAAACATCGGCCATGTTTAGTTCAGAAGTTTGAAATATGTTCGGTGTGACGGCTGTGATGTCATGATGGAGCCGTTAATCAATCCATCATCTCTCAACCAAAATGGTTGGACACAAAAAATAGAACCACTATCCGAGCGACCGGGTTCCATTCCCACTGATCAATATGATCATATGTCTCGGGTGAAGTTGTCCTTTAGTTGAAGCTTGGGATACTTCCTTCACCATCCTGGTCTCATAGAATGTGGAGATGATACCTTATCAGTCCATACATGTCACCCTGTCTTTCCACCTGTAGTTGGTGAACTGGTTGACCACTGTGATCGCAGTGAGAGATGACCCTAAAATCTGTACCATGATTTAATATTGAAGACTGCGCGTTCTTGAAAAGAACTTGTGAACTCTTCCATATGCTATATGGGATGAGGAATGTAATACTTTCTATATCCATTGTCAGAAACTGTTAGGGAATCAGCAGACGGTATGAATGTAACACAATAGTGTGCCTGAATATCCCAGAACATGTACATGTATTGGTTACCTGAAGGTATACATCTAGCTGTCCTATCCGAAATATGTATATCTCAACTTCTTATTACAAATGCGAAGTTTTGACACAAATGTAACAAGTCGTCACAACAATTTCAAATATGACAATATTGTCTGATTTAATCATTTTTTCATCGCTTGTTTTGAATGGCTTTAACCTTAAACATATTCCTTAGAGCCGACTACACATGGCAAGTCAGACATAAAAATGTCAAGCAACTGGTGTTGTCTTGTGCCACACGTGGCACTTCTGCTGCTGTCAGCGTGTCACAAGACCCACACTGTAACCGACGGAAGATGTCAATCGGAGATGTCACGTGATTCGGGTGGACGCGAACCCAGGATCAACGTTCCCGTGCCGTCGCAACACGGGGGTATATAAGTGACGGTGTAGGAGTCACCGTAACAGCCAGTAGCCAAGAGGGGAGGATTCACTACCAGGTAGGTGTCGTTAGGACGAGTTGACTCATATCTGGACACAATGTTACACACATCGTCCAGCCAGAAAGGGAGGTTAAGCATGGCCAGGGAGGTAAAGCATGGCTCAACGTCGTCTTAATGAACATTACACTTATATAGCTACGTGGCATTATATGGAACTACCTTACTATTCCTTACAGTTGGTTATTTTATAACAGTTTTAGGTAAATAATCATATATTCTTAAACAAGCTCCATCACGAATTTGTTTCTAAAACCGCCAGTTACATGTGCCCCTGTCTGAAAATATCAGTATGTGTGTGCGTGCGTGCGCGCGCGCGTGTGTGAGTTTGAGTGTGTAATTATATATGCTTGATAATAATTTGATTTTACATTCAATTGTACATTCAACCTAACCAATGCGGGAAGAGGCATATATAAGTCACGGTCGTCACATTGGAAAGTCGATGTTACATACGGAATGTGAGGACGACCATTCCATTAATTTAATTCTGATTTACACTGATCAGTACTACTGAGGTCGTGTAACATATTCTGAATTTCTTCCCAATTGAAATATTCGAGGGTGGATAAAAAGTAAAACTCTTTGTAAGCGTATGTATAAAACCTTTTTCAGGGAGCAAATTCTATCCGGTTTATTCTCCTAATAGTGACGTATCCACTAAATACTGGTGTATAATGTGTATCTGGGAAGTACTTAATGACTACTTATACTACTACTACTACTTCTACTACTACTACTACTACTACACACTACACATTACACGAGTACACAAGTACACAAGTACACAAGTACACAATACACAATTACCTTCTGTCATCACCATGTCAACGTGATTCATACACATATGCTCGCATTATAGTCGACTTCATGGAGAGCATTTATTGCTTATATTCCACGTCCTTACAAGGACATTAAACTATTGAATATAGCGTCTCTTTGACACCTTAAATTGTTTTTAAAAGGTTAACTATATCTTTGGGATCTGAGATTATTTTCATGCCTTGCAATCATGACAAATATCTCCATTTGACAGAAGCTCTTTTCATTTCAGCCAAAATGTTGAGAGTCCCACTTTTGGTTCTCTGCCTAGCTCTCAGCGTGGGTGCAGACTATTACGGTAAGAAAAGAGGAAGTAGAAGTCCCTTAGGGAAATCTAAACGTGAGCAATGGTAGAGGCAGGCTAGATAAGGAAGGGGACTGGCTGTGGGCTTTTACAGCTCCATCTCTCACAGTTACACAGTTATCTACAAAGTCGACATACATAGTATCAGTCATTCATGTGAAGGTGTATTCGGCAGGTCCAACTTTTTTAACCATTTTCTAACATGTCATGCAAATACAAAGATTCTGAACTACTATTTTTATGCATTTCAGGCTACGGCTGGGGTCGCAATGGAGGAGGTGGAGGAGGAGGTGGTGGTGGTGGATCCGGTAGCGCCAGTGCCTCCGCTTCCGCCTCTGCAAGTGCTCGGGCAAACAGTATCAATAACCTCGCTGGACGGCTGTCATCTCTAGTTGATGCCAGTGCAAGTGCTCGTGCCAGCGCCAATGCTAATGCAAGAGGCTTTGGTGGTTCTGGAGGTTCTGGAGGTGGTGGATCAGGAGGAAACGGTGGATCTGGAGGAAGTGGGTTCGGAGGTGCCAGTGCAAGCGCAAGCGCCCAAGCGCTTGCATCAGCCACTGCCGAACTTCAGTCGGCTCAGGATGCTTACGATCAAGCCAGTGCTTATGCTGAGGCCACAGCTCAGGCTGCTGCAAATGGAGGAAGCCTTGATTCCAGCGCCCTTGCTACTGCCATTGCCAGTGCCGAAGCTTCTGTTTCTGCTCGTGGAGGTTCCATCATTGCCAGGGCACGTGCACGAGCAGAGGCCTCCGTTAGAGCAGCTCGAAGGTCTTTCGCAAATGCTCGAGCCAGTGCTGAAGCATCTGTCTCAGCGGTGCGTTCATCTGAGGGAAGAGCAAGATCTTTCGCTTCAGCTGTTGCAAGGGCACGTGCTTCTGCAAGAGCAGCCATTGCGGGAGTAAGATCATCTGGACGTGCTGTTGCTTCTGCTACAGCTAGAGCAAGGGCTTCAGTCTCAGCAGCCGGAAGAGCAGTTGCAAGCGCTCGCGCTCAGGCTGTCGCCCGTGCTCGTGCCAGTGCCCGTGCTTCAGCTTCTGCAAGTGCAAGAGCCTCAGCTTCCGCCGCAGCTAGCGCGCGTGCTTCAGCCTATGCTCGTGTACAGGTAGCTGCTGCAGCTGCTGCTAGGGCTGCTGCCTCTGCTGCTGCGAGCGCGAGCGCCAGTTCAAGCGCCAGTGGATCCAGTTTCGGCTCTGGTGGTGCTGGTGGGTCTGGTAATGGTGGATTCGGTAGTTTTGGGGCCTCAGCTAATGCTGTTGCCAATGCTTTCGCACAAGCTTTCGGAAGTTCAAGCGGCGGTGGTTCAGGAGGTGGCGGAAGTGGAAATGGAAATGGAGGAAGCGGAAATGGTGGCAGTGGAGGAAGTGGAAATGGTGGCAGTGGCGGCAGTGGAGGAAGAGGAGGAAGATACTACTACGGTTCCAGTGATTACTATTATTAACTCTCATCTGTGCGTCACCTGTCCTCACTTTACTCAAATAAATTCTTGAATTTGTAGCACTTGTGTGTTTCACTAGAACAGATTTTCACGGTTCATCATCCATGTATCGAACGCTTGTAAATAAACTCAGTGGAGTATGAAAAAGAATTGAAAGATGCATTTTAGTCTCATTGATGCGTTATAGTTCCATGTTGAAGACCTAAATTGTGAAGCAGTTGGAAACCTAGGTGTAATTGTGTATCAGACAGTTTATCACTTTGCACATTACATCAGGTTGGCAGACAGTGACTGAGCTATGGTACAAGAAAAACTGACCCCATTTATATTTATGGCATGATCATCTATCATCAACGATCACAATGGCACCAGCGTATTGCTGTTTTAGGAAGAGTGTACTTTAAACCGAATTCTGTAATATGCGACAATGGACAACAAATCAACAAACAACATGATTGACTGACTGACTGAGTTTGGTTTTACGCCGCTTTTAGCAATATTCCAGCAACATCACGGCGGGGGACACCAGAAATGGGCTTCACACATTGTACCCATGTGGGGACTCGAACCCGGGTTTTCGGCATGACGAGCCAACGCTTTAACCACTAGGCTACGCCACCGCCCACCAATTTAGTAGTACTGAGCATATATTAGCTTTTCTTGCGAGAGATGCTACCTTTAGGGTCAATCAGAAGAAGTATTTAAAGTGTTTTGATAGCAATTGCTTATCATTATCATAGGCTTGTACAGCGAGTGGGCAATCAGCAAGGGGTTCCAGGTGTTGCAATATTCCAGCAAAATGGCGGCGGTAAGTAAATAATGGAATCAAGTGATCAACAGCATGAGCATCGATCTACGCATTTGGGACCCCGTCAGTCCCCTCGTACGACAAGCATGGGTTACTGAAGACCAATTCTAAAAATGAATAGAGATTGCACAAACACTGCTCCCTGAGGGATGCCAGCTTTGAATAACCATGGTTTAAACAGAGCTGGCATGAAGCCAGCGATATGGTATTCACGATCATACATCTTTGTGAAAACTCGAGAACAGATTTTACACATTGTACCAGTATGATCGCTTGTTCAATCAGTTATAGCGTTATGTTATTTGGAACCATCGAAATTCCTGTTTCGAGGTGATATATCGGTCACACTAAAGAAAAGCAAAAAAAACAACATATATGTCTTTTTATAGGCGTGTGAGTATGTGGATACGGTGAGTGATTGTGCTACCGGTAGGCGAGAACGTGCTTATCCTTTTCCAGAACAGCTTGTTTCATCATTGGCATTCAGTGACCCATTCATAGAATTTCTGCCGCTGCGACGAATGGAATCTCTTTCGTGGGATAGTCGAAAATGCGTTTAGGAATGTTCCAGGTATCCAGCTTTTGGGGACACAACAAATGGGCTGTGGAAAATGGGGTTATGTAGATGATGTAGATGTTCCCCGTGGATCCAGGGATGTAGTTGATGTTCCAAATGGATTGAAGGGTGTGGTAGGTGTACCCCGTGGAATAAGGGGTGTTGTTGATGTTCCCCGTGGAATAAGGAGTGTTTTTGATGTTCCCCATGACCTAAGGAGTGTTGTTGATGTTCCCCATCGACTTAAGAGTGTTGTTGATCTTCCCCGTGAACTAAGGAGTGTTTTTGATGCTCCCCGTGAACTAAGGGGTGTTGTTGATGTTCCCCGTAAACTAAGGAGTGTTGTTGATGTTCCCCGTGAACTAAGGAGTGTTGTTGATGTTCTCCATCGACTTAGCAGTGTTGCTGATGTTCCCCGTGAACTAAGGAGTGTTGTTGATGTTCCCCGTAAACTAAGGAGTGTTGTTGATGTTCCCCGTGAACTAAGGAGTGTTGTTGATGTTCCCCATCGACTTAGCAGTGTTGTTGATGTTCCCCGTAAACTAAGGAGTGTTGTTGATGTTCCCCGTGAACTAAGGAGTGTTGTTGATGTTCCCCATCGACTTAGGAGTGTTGTTGATGTTCTCCGTGAACTAAGGAGCGTTGTTGGTGTTCTCCGTGAACTAAGGGGTGTTGTTGATGTTTCCCGTGAACGAAGGAGGGTGGTTGATGTTCCCCATCGACTTAGCAGTGTTGTTGATGTTCCCCGAGAACTAAGGGGTGTTGTTGATGTTCTCCTTGAACTAAGGGGTGTTGTTGATGTTCTCCGTGGACTAAGGGGTGTTGTTGATGTTCTCCACTGACTAAGGCGTGTTGTTGATGTTCTCCGTGGACTAAGGGGTGTTGTTGATGTTCCCCGTGAACTAAGGAGTATTGTTGATGTTCCCCATCGACTTAGCAGCGTTGTTGATGTTCCCCGTGAACTAAGGGGTGTTGTTGATGTTCCCCGTGAACCAAGGGCATGTTGTTAATGGTTCTCTTGAATAAGGAGTGTTAATGATGTTTCCCGGGAACTAAGGAGTGTTGTTGATGTTTCCCGTGAACTAAGGAGTTTTGTTGATGTTCCCCGAGAACTAAGGGGTGTTGTTGATGTTTCCCGGGAACTAAGGAGTGTTGTTGATGTTCTCCGTGAACTAAGGAGTGTTGTTGATGTTCCCCATCGACTTAGCAGTGTTGTTGATGTTCCCCGAGAACTAAGGGGTGTTGTTGATGTTCTCCTTGAACTAAGGGGTGTTGTTGATGTTCTCCATGGACTAAGGAGTGTTGTTGATGTTCTCCATCGACTTAGCAGTGTTGATGATGTTTCCCGTGAACTAAGGAGTGTTGTTGATGTTCCCCGTGAACTAAGGAGTGTTGTTGATGTTCCCCGTGAACTAAGGAGTGTTGTTGATGTTCCCGTGAACTAAGGAGTGTTGTTGAACTAAGGAGTGTTGTTGATGTTCCCCGTGAACTAAGGAGTGTTGTTGATGTTCTCCGTGAACTAAGGAGCGTTGTTGGTGTTCTCCGTGAACTAAGGAGTGTTGTTGATGTTTCGAGTGAACTAAGGAGGGTGGTTGATGTTCCCCATCGACTTAGCAGTGTTGTTGATGTTCCCCGAGAACTAAGGGTGTTGTTGATGTTCTCCTTGAACTAAGGGGTGTTGTTGATGTTCTCCGTGGACTAAGGGGTGTTGTTGATGTTCTCCACTGACTAAGGCGTGTTGTTGATGTTCTCCGTGGACTAAGGGTTGTGTTGTTGATGTTCCCGTGAACTAAGGAGTGTTGTTGATGTTCCCCATCGACTTAGCAGCGTTGTTGATGTTCCCCGTGAACTAAGGAGGTTGTTGTTGTTGATGTTTCCCGTGAACTAAGGAGTGTTAATGATGTTTCCCGTGAACTAAGGAGTGTTGTTGATGTTTCCCGTGAACTAAGGAGTGTTGTTGATGTTCCCCGTGAACTAAGGAGTGTTGTTGATGTTCCCGTGAACTAAGGAGTGTTGTTGATGTTCTCCGTGAACTAAGGAGTGTTGTTGATGTTCCCCGTGGACTTAGAGTGTTGTTGATGTTCCCCATCGACTTAGCAGTGTTGTTGATGTTCCCCGAGAACTAAGGGGTGTTGTTGATGTTCTCCTTGAACTAAGGAGTGTTGTTGATGTTCTCCCGTGAACTAAGGAGTGTTGTTGATGTTCCCCGTGAACTAAGGAGTGTTGTTGATGTTCCCCGTGAACTAAGGGGTGTTGTTGATGTTCCCCGTGAACCAAGGGCATGTTGTTAATGGTTCTCTTGAATAAGGAGTGTTAATGATGTTTCCCGGGAACTAAGGAGTGTTGTTGATGTTCCCCGTGAACTAAGGGGTGTTGTTGATGTTCCCCGTGAACTAAGGAATGTTGTTGATGTTCTCCTTGAACTTAGGAGTGTTGTTGATGTTCTCCGTGAACTAAGGAGCGTTGTTGGTGTTCTCCGTGAACTAAGGAGTGTTGTTGATGTTTCGAGTGAACTAAGGAGTGTGGTTGATGTTCCCCATCGACTTAGCAGTGTTGTTGATGTTCCCGTGAACTAAGGGGTGTTGTTGATGTTCCCCGTGAACTAAGGGGTGTTGTTGATGTTCCCCGTGAACTAAGGAGTGTTGTTGATGTTCTCCCGTGAACTAAGGAGTGTTGTTGATGTTCTCCTTGAACTTAGGAGTATTGTTGATGTTCCCCGTGAACTAAGGAGTGTTGTTGATGTTCCCCATCGACTAAGCAGTGTTGTTGATGTTCCCCGTGAACTAAGGGGTGTTGTTGATGTTCCCCGTGAACTAAGGAGTGTTGTTGATGTTTCCGTGAACTAAGGAGTGTTGTTGATGTTTCCCGTGAACTAAGGAGTGTTGTTGATGTTCCCCGTGAACTAAGGAGTGTTGTTGATGTTCCCGTGAACTAAGGAGTGTTGTTGATGTTCTCCGTGAACTAAGGAGTGTTGTTGATGTTTCCCCGTGGACTAAAGTGTTGTTGATGTTCCCCGTCGACTTAGGAGTGTTGTTGATGTTCCCCGTGAACTAAGGGTGTTGTTGTTGATGTTCTCCGTGAACTAAGGTGTTGTTGATGATGTTCTCCGTGAACTAAGGAGTGTTGTTGATGTTCCCGTGAACTCAGGGAGTGTTGTTGATGTTCCCCGTGAACTAAGGGAGTGTTGATGATGTTCCCCGTGAACTAAGTGAAGTGTTGTTGATGTTTCCCGTGAACTAAGGAGTGTTGTTGATGGGTGTTGTGTTGATGTTGTTCCCGTGAACTAAGGGCATGTTGTTGATGTTCTCCGTGAACTAAGGAGTGTTGTTGATGTTCCCCGTGAACTAAGGAGTGTTGTTGATGTTTCCCGTGAACTAAGGGGTGTTGTTGTTGATGTTCCCCGTGAACTAAGGAGTGTTGTTGATGTTTCCCCGTGAACTAAGGAGTGTTGTTGATGTTCCCGTGAACTAAGGGAGTGTTGTTGATGTTCCCCGTGAACTAAGGAGTGTTGTTGTTGAACTAAGGAGTGTTGATGTTCCCGTGAACTAAGGAGTGTTGTTGATGTTCCCGTGAACTAAGGAGTGTTGATGTTGATAAGATGTTGTTGATGTTTCCGTGAACTAAGGAGTGTTGTTGATGTTTCCCGTGAACTAAGGTGTTGTTGATGTTCCCCGTGAACTAAGGAGTGTTGTTGA